AGTGAGAACCTCTTCTATATTTTTTAATGAGACAACAGACAACATATATGGATGTCTTTCATTTTCAGCAATTGTGAGTTCACATAGTCTCAGTCTCACTTGTGTGTGTTCTTGAACAGGGTTCATGGATAATCTCTCTCCAAGCACTCTGCTCAACAGTATCTCCTGTCTTGGCGCCTTAACATCTGATGTCTCTACTGTGAGACCCAAGCCTGTTCAGAAGTATTGCAAAAACGTATATGATATCTCAAGCATCGTGAATCCCCTTCTTGAAGATCTTTGCAAGTCTCCCGAAGACCAACTCAATGAGGTCCTAAGAGATCTTGACACCGCTGTCAATGAAGCTTCAGGCCTTATTGGAAACTGGCACCAGACAACCAGCAAAATATATTTTGTAAGTGCATACGACTATACGAGTCAATATACTCACTCTTGATTTGTTCACTCTGCTTTCCATATATTATGTTTTAGACTTATGCTACCCAAGGAAAATCAATCTGTTGTTGTTAACAGCAATACATCCTTTCCAGTTCTTACTAGGAAGCTGGTTCTCTTTTGATTCTTTTATGTGAGAAATCAGTATCATACATGCATCCGCTAGATACAAATGTTTTGCATTATCTGTTAGTGTCACTATTTACCCTTACTCTCCCTCTCTTTTTTTCTTGTTGTCTAGCATTTACAATAACAAGATAAGGCATCAGGGCTGACGCTATCATCTTAATAACTTGAACTCTGGGTCCTTGAAATATCGTAACTTTTTAGCTCTTGTTGGTAGCATAGATACTTATACTTACAGTAATTGAAGCATTTTGAAGAGTCATATATTCAACCTTCAGGCTAACATTAATTTTAGCTGGCCATGTCTTGCGTTAAATAAAATTATCATTCCTTTGTACAAAACCTTTGAAGTGTGCCGGGCATTGACCTTGGTTATTGGTAAACAGCCAAGATGTTCTAGCCAGACTTGCTTGAATAGCTTTACATGTGCATTTGGCATTTTTACCAGTTAATAATATGGTTTATCTAGTTAGCATACTTGTTCACTGGAAGCAGCATGTAAATGCATAGTACGTAGTATATACAGAAAGAAAATGGGGAAGCCATCATAAGGTTATAAGCATTCATGTACGAGGGAACTTGAATGAGTTGGTGGTGATTCAGTTTTATCGCATATAGTGAAAAGTATACTTGTCCTTTTTACTGGATACTCCTTGATGTTTACGCCATTACACATGGAGCCCTCTTCTGTCTATGTTGGTGGTGTAATCTGATTTCTGAATGGTTTCATGTTCATGGATTTGCCCCCAAACTTCACGTCTTACTTTCTTTGTATATTGTAAACTTCAGCTATCTAGCTAACACTACTCGATGAATACCATAAATATTGAAAGCTACTCCTGCATTTCTGATTCGGTAATGTTCTTATTACCTTAAACAGGGTTGGCAAATTGAGTCAGTAATATCAGATATTCAGGGATGTTCCCTTCAGTTGTGCCAGCTGGTTAATTCGCTATTACCTTCTCTGACTGGTCGTGCCTCCATGTGTATTGAGGTAATTGAAAGTGATTGTTTTTTATTACTACTACAATACCCTGGCTGTGGGACTTTCTTATATAGAAATAAATCTGTTGCATTTATGAGTTGGACCTACATGTTCTTGCATTGGTTCTGGTCAAAATTGGGCAAGGTAATGAAAGAATCCAACAAAAAAAACTAATATAATATTCGCAAATTGTAAGATGATGGAACGGCAAAACAAATAGCATTATATGGATGCCTTGCATTTATGATAGATTGAATATAGTGATTGCACTTAGTGGGGGATGGATAGCTTATGATGTGGATAGTTTGCATGTTGAGATTGAAAGCTAGTGAGGTTAATATATAGATATAGATATAGATTTCTGTTTGTGACCCTAATTTTTCTTCCACACCCAATCCAACTCATCTGTGATTTTCTACTCTGTTGTAGAAACTCCAGGACATAAATTATGAGCACATGTTTGATGTGGTTAAGGAGGTTGCCATGGAGCTTGCAGAGACAAATGCAGTGAGTTCTGAGAATCTGTTGAAACTATCAAGTTTGTTGAGCCTGTCAACAAACATGGAATTATACATGGAAGCTGTTTCCCTTGAAAATCTCAGAACAAGGGCACTACGAAGCGAGAATCGTGAAGAACTGGAGCTAGCTGAGCAGATGATTCCACTGGTCAACTATATGCATGACTATCTTCTCAGAGAAAAACAACAGCTTAGCATCAATGGGGTGCCTATTCCTGCTGATTTTTGTTGTCCCCTTTCCTTGGAGCTGATGTCTGATCCTGTTATCGTAGCATCTGGACAGACCTATGAGCGGGTTTATATCAAGTTGTGGCTTGATGAGGGTTTTACTATCTGCCCAAAAACACGCCAAAGACTTGGCCACTCCAATTTAATACCTAATTATACTGTGAAGGCTCTGATAGCTAACTGGGGTGAATCGCATGACATTAGGCTTCCTGATCCTATGAAATCATTGAAGATGAACTTTCCTTCTGCTGCCTCCTCCCTTCAGGATTCGAGTGCTGCAGGTGGCAGCCCTCTACATCCTAGCGTTGTGTCAAGGGCTAATATTCCTGGGTCCCCAGAAGCTGATGTGTATTTGAAAAACTTCAATGGAGCATCTCCTCCCCATAGTTTGGCCAATCAGAATTCTCATGTGCATGGAAACCGTCCTGGTCATGAGGTCTCAACGAGTCAAACTTCAGAAAATGCAAATGGTTCTGCACCAGATGTTTCAAGGTTATCTCTTGCAAGTTCTGAAGCAAGAGAGTCTAGTTTGGAAGGAAGGCATGGTGGTTCAATTGGACAAATGTCAGAACATTCTACGGAGGAAGCATTTCAATCTTCTAATTTGGATAGGGATCTGCAGGACAACTTGGCTAGTTCTTCATTGAATGGTAGTCTTCCAAATAGTGGTCAACTTGATGGGGAATGTGACAATGGGGTTACAAGGGTTCCAAGTGATAGGACAAATTACAGTAGCGATGCATCTGGAGAGGTTACAGATGGTGGTGGTGCACCTGTAGCCTCTTCTGTTCCTCAAAGGGAACATTTAATCCCTCCAAGATTGGGTACTAGAGGACAATTTATCAGGCGGCAACCATCAGATAGGGGTTTCCCCAGAATTATATCTTCCTCAACGATGGATGCACGGAGTGATCTCTCTGCCATTGAGAATCAGGTTCGGAAGCTGATTGATGATTTGAAAAGTGATTCTATAGATGTTCAGAGATCAGCAGTATCAGATCTTCGTTCTCTAGCTAAGCACAACATGGAGAATAGGATTGTCATTGCAAGCTGTGGGGCTGTAAACTTGCTGGTTAGTCTTCTTCATTCACCAGATGCCAAAACCCAAGAACATGCTGTGACAGCTCTTTTGAATTTGTCGATCAATGACAACAATAAAATTGCTATTGCAAATGCTGATGCTGTCGATCCTCTCATTCATGTCCTTGAGACTGGGAACCCTGAAGCTAAAGAGAATTCAGCAGCTACTCTATTCAGTCTCTCGGTTATTGAAGAAAATAAAGTGAGGATTGGGCGATCTGGTGCCATCAAGCCTCTAGTAGACTTGCTAGGAAATGGCACCCCTCGAGGAAAGAAAGATGCAGCTACTGCATTGTTTAACCTGTCGATTCTTCATGAGAATAAAGCTCGCATCGTGCAAGCTGATGCTGTGAGGCACCTGGTTGAGCTTATGGATCCTGCTGCTGGAATGGTCGACAAAGCTGTGGCTGTGTTGGCAAACCTTGCTACGATACCAGAAGGAAGGAATGCGATTGGGCAGGCACGTGGCATTCCAGCCCTTGTTGAAGTTGTTGAGTTGGGTTCTGCAAGAGGGAAGGAGAATGCTGCGGCCGCGTTGCTTCAGCTCTGTACAAACAGCAATAGATTTTGCAGTATAGTTCTTCAAGAGGGTGCAGTGCCCCCTCTAGTCGCCCTTTCACAGTCAGGAACACCGCGGGCGAGAGAGAAGGTTCGCAGCTTCCCACAAGCTATATTTCTTAGGTTTAGAAAATGCAGCACACTTTTTTAATCTAATGCTGATTTGACGAACTCTGATTTGCTATTTGTTTTGCAGGCACAAGCGCTTCTGAGCTACTTCCGCAGCCAAAGACATGGGAATTCAGCAAGGAGATAGCCTTCTGATTTTTTTTTTCTTTTGTTGTATTGTACATTAAGCGTCGCCTTTATGCCCATCATCGTGATTGGGTCCTGTTGACTGTTGTTGATTGGCACTGGCAGATGCATTGGCTGGAATTATGCAGTGCCCTGTGCTCTGTTTATATGCCCTGTTCGCTTGGCTGATAAGCCATGGCTGAAAGTACTGTTGGCTGATTTGTTGTGAGAGAAAAATATTGTTCGTTGGCTGAAAAAGTATGGCTTAAGCCAAGCGAATAGGGCGGCAAGTGTTGTCTGTTGAGATGGTATCTTTTCTTTTTTTTCGTTTTTGAGGATTTCTTGTATAGCTTATCCATTGGTAGCAACTTACATATATTCACCGATTTTGTCCTGTATATTCTATTAGCTGTGGTCCGTGGAATTATGATGGTTGTACAATTTATTATTTGATCTGTAGTACCAAATAAGGCCATGTTTTGATGCAAAGTATTTTTGAAGTATTGGATAAATACGTTTTTTTTGTAAAATACTTTGGTTTTTAAAACCTGCTGGCTGTTTGGATATAACAAATCAAGTTTCTAAAATCGTGGTTTTGTCAAAACTCATGACCTCTTTCTATTTAGATTATGGTTTTGTATCTCTTTGGGTTATAAAAACTACAACTTTGCGATGCCACAACTTTCGAAAACTGTCATTTAAACAGGCCCTAAGTTGTTTGCATTGTTATTTTTATTTTTTTTTGGATTAAAGGGTTGGCTCTATGGCCTTTCAGTTGTTTGCATTGTTAGTTGCTCTTATCTGTTAGGAAGTTATTCTCTCTCGTGAATCTCTTTTTACAGAGTATTTTGACCTGAGCCTATGATCAACAGCCTGAAGTAGTTTCCAGCACTTCCTACATTTTCTGAAACTATATGGTTAGCACTTCCTACATTTTCTGAAATTATGGTTTGCATGAGAAGCAACGCAATCGTATAAAATGTAGAAGGTTAACCTAACAGAATGTGCAACTGCTTATGCGAACGAGTTTAAGCCACTTTGCAAATTGCCGCACGCTAGGGATGCAAGCGGGTTTGCTTGCTAACCCACAGATATATTTAGTGCAAAGCAGAAGATGCAAGCAACGGTTGCGACCTTCGTTTTAGCTTGGTGTTGCTATAACTATAAGCTGTCGTTTGAAACTAATTCAGTCATATTCTGTAGCATGTACAGCAGGCAACATTACATTCAACATACACAAAACTACAGCCGGACGTTCTATGTACAACATTTTTGCATTCAAGATAGGAACGAGCAAGGCAACCTGCCGCAACCGACCATACTCTGTACGACATTCTCGAAGAGCCCTAATTCTCGTGTCAAGTGTGTAACCACATTTCGTGGATTTCTTTCTTAGGATCACGATGTTATGGAATCATTCTTCCATCCCATGTCTGCATCTTACTTTTGCTTGGCGAGGACCGTGGGGTTCTTCCGTCCCATGTCTGCATCTTACTTTTGCTTGGTGAGGACTGTGGGGTCGTAACATGGTTTCCATCAGAAAATGACCCCTGGGGGCAAAAAAAAAAGGCACTGGGTTTAGTGTTTAGTGTTCATTCAAACAAAGCAAAAGATCCCCCACATCGCACACACATGATGTTCCAACGAGCGTTATAGTAAGTTGCCAATCCTCCACAATTTGCTCTTTTTTTTTTCTAAAGCAGATATTTGCTGATGAAGTTAGATTTTAAGTTCAGATAAAGAAGTACCTAAGCAGCACACTAAAACAATGCAAGATGTTATTAACAACTAACCAAACTACACATGCAACAAGACAAAGGAAATGAGAACAATAATCATGCACACGTACCATCAAGAGGCTTAGCAGTTGGCATCATCCTCCGTTTTTCTTGAGTAAGCTCTCACCTTTCTGCAGAATTCTTTAATTGCTGCATGATCTGAAAATGTCACTGGCGTTTCTTCCTCAACTGGATTTCTCTCATAAAATAGTTTAATAGGCATCCTTTCAATGACGTCGCTTGGAGGATCCTCAGGTATATCACGATACAAATGTTTGAGAATGAAGAGAGCAGTATCATGATCTCGCCAATAGTTGCTACAGGGCATCCACAGGTCAGTGAAAATCTGAAACTCGATTGAACAGGCAACGATAGTTGAATCAACAGGAAAGGCTTTAAACTCACGTATGAGCTCCCAGAGCAGATAGATATGAATGCTGAAATGTTTTCTCCTGCAAAAATAAAAATTAAGTTAAGACTTTTAAGATAAAAGAATACTCATTGAACGTAGAAGCATACAGGAACAGCCAAGTCAAAAATATAAGGACAAAGTGGATCATGTTGCCAACAGGCTCAAATGCAAATGCGAATGTGCTAGTCAGTTACAAATAATGTACAATAAAGTACTGTACGTCTGTATGGCACTTTGAAATGATGGGAACATAATTTCAGAGTTGCACAACCCTTTGTACTCTTAGGACCTTAATCAGGTATCTCAAATCACAGCTTAGTAATCAGTAATTCTGGTGGTGGAACCCAGGTCCTCACAGATAAGGTGAGATTGTGGGCCTGTGTCGGCCAGTGGCCCATTGTACTGCAATACACCAATATAGAGTACTAAGAGCAAAATTTTATCATATCACCTGAAGCACATGATCAATTCGACCATCCGGTGAACCGGTCAACCTTTCCATCATAATGGAACCATATGATCTTTCTTTCTCATTAGCACTCTCACCATCCTCTAGATGAATAAAGATCATCATTATGTCAGAATCTCTTTTCTTTGTAATTTTAAATGTATATATGAAAGACAAAGAAAAATATATACCTTCTGTGTCATTTCTGCTCAATGCTAGCATAGCAGCTACTGCTTTGACCTATATATAGAAGATAAAAGATGAAGAGGTGAAAGCACATATTTACTAAGGCTATATTAACAGCGTTCACTTCTAGATCATTCACAAGCATAACACATACTGTTTAATATATTAAAACCACGAGAATCACATCACTGTTTGTTAAAAGGATGCACTAAATTCACATAACCCCAGCAGAGTGAAGAACTTACCTTCAGTGACTTCAATTGATGGGCAATGGCTTGAGAACGTGCAGAAATATTTTCTCTGAACTCCTACATGATATATCAACCCAAATATCGGTCTAAGTAAAAGCATAGCATTCTCTGCTAGGAACAGACAATTAAAATGATGAACAATCCACCTGCACTCCAACATGTATCCGCTTTCCGCCTCTATGGTAGGGAACAATTACAGGACGCTTCTTTAGATAATCTTCACATACAAGTGGTTCAACTCTGTATAAAAGTCCACCTAGATTCATATGACATATTCCTCACTATGCAAGAGATAAGTACACTGTCTTCCAGTGCAACAAAAAACAGTATCTAAATTTAACAAAGGTTAAGCACATCTTCTCATATCAGGTTGCCAATGTTTAGTTCTGCTGCGGTATTGTATGTTTTACAAAATCTCCAAACATGAGATAAGAAAAAAGTGTAAGAAAGCTACAAACCTGTATGCTACAGGATCAAAAGGATGAAAAATATTGAACATCTGCCGGCAGCATGGCATCTCTTCAATTATGTTCTCATCTTGCCAATAATCTTGCCCTTTGCCTGTAGAACAAGGTATAGAATTCAGATACAAATCATGGAACGACATAAGACAAACAAAACATGGAACAGCTGGCAATATGGAAGCACTCGCCAGTTGCCAGGAACACTTGTAAGTTGCTGCACACAAACATCATCCTTTATGATACATAGGAACAATTTTTCAATAGTTCCACAAGTCTTTGTCCAGGCTACCATGCAACGAAGGGTAAATAATCTTCTTCTGGCTACTCATGGATGAATCCTTATCGAGCAGGTAGTTCAAAAGGTGATGAAGTATACAATCTAAACCTAAGAAGAGCACTATTTAAATTTGTAAAAACCAAAAACTAACAAAACAAAGACATCAACACTGCTGTAAAACAGGGGGGAAACACATTGGGCTTATTGCTGTTCCAACAATAACCCTTACAAAAATGAATTATTATCAGTCAAAGGTTGCATACCAATACCAATACGGACATTACGCAGGGAAAGGAAGACACCCAAGGGAGATCCAACAGCAAAGAATGTGTCAACCTGAATATCCAAAAATATTGCAATGATGACATAAAATTCAAGTGAAAAAACAATGACAGAATACTCAAAATAACTAGGGCGATACCACCTTAAAGTTTAGTTTTGTGTATTTGATTTGTGGTGAGTAGGACTGGTTTGAACTTCCTTGCACCGTGAAAAGTTTGCCAGAGTTCAAGGCATGATTGCCATTTTTGCCTACCACAAATATACATAAAAATTTGAATAAATACATCAAAAAAGGAACACACTAGAAGCCTTCTACAAGATGCCTTGGATCGAAAGCAACTACTTACCTTCATGATACTCAACACCACTGGTGCTTTCAGTCACTAGATGATTTTGTTGTTCAAGACTATCTAGTCTAGCTTTAAGACGTTTCACCTGAATAAAGGAGAGTATAGGCATCAATTTGTTATGTCAGTTTAACTTGCACTATTTGCTTGGCTGCAAGATAACACTGTTATTTTATTATAATATATATTTATTACACTGTTAATTAAATATATGTTTATGTTAATCATTTCTTTCAAGGCAATCAACAATTGACGACCTTCTGATGAAGTTAGATGATTCAAAGATAACATATATTAAATCAGACAATCTCCACGTGTTCACACCTCTTCTTCTAGTGAAATGATCAATTTGTCTTTGTCAAGGACCATCAATTTTTCTTCGTCAAGGACCTCTTCATCGACTTCCTCAGCAGATCTTGAAATGCTTGATCCTTCAGCATCTTTTGTGCTTACACCTGAAGTTGTTCCTTCCTCAGTATACACCGTCTGATGATTATCAACCTTATTTTCTTCTTCATTTTGCTCAGCAACAACTGCACCACGTGGCACAACAATTTCATGGTTATTTGGTGAATCCTCGAGCACACATGACGGGAGGATGCTGTCCATATGTGACACATCAGTTATGGTGCTATCTTCATCAACGACACTGTGTGCATTATCAGCACAAGAATGCCCTAGAGTAGAAGTGTCATGATCCTTTGCGCCTGAATCATGCAGAGCAACTTTGTTGGCTGATTTTGCTCCTCGACTCCGATCAGATGTTTCCATGTTCAGATACTCTGTCGGAAATGGGGCCCAAAGGGATTCTTGATGACAAAGTATATCATATGACAGAACACTTCCTAATGAGTGGCCATACAATGAAACCTGCAAAATAGGGCAAGGCAAAAGATTTCTTGTCTAATTATCAGCATAATGGCAATTATAAAGAACAATGTGAACGGGTCATGAACTATTGAACTGCAAACCTTTCCACTGTAACCAGGATTTCTCTTCAGAAATTTCATGTACAGCTTGTTCAACTGGTTCGAGACCTGTAATAAGTTCAAGTCACTAATTTGTTTTACGGAGTTCAACAATGCTTTCTATCAATCAGGTAATACAGCACAAAAAATAGCATGGGAATATTCATGTCTTCTAATGTACACCAAAGGAGGATAACTGGAGCTGTAAGATGGAGTTCAAAGACTGTGTGTCATCACAGTTGCTTGGACTAATCAGATTTGATTCTAAAGCCACGAAACAAAATCAAGGACTTTCCACCAAAAAAACAAACAGAAGGTACTGCAGTAATAGAGCAAATTACCGAGTCAATAATATGCTGACAGTAGATAGGACTCATATAATATAGAACATCATGAACTGTGGCACCTAACGCGACTCGAAGACCTTTAACTCCATCCAAAGTGAGTTTCTCAACAGTACTTTCACCACTGAGCTTCAAGCCCTTCCTCCACTATGATAATAAGCATCATTATTAGAAAAAGAAATCATCAACAAATGGAGATATAACCATATGATATATCATGACTAATGAAAAAATCAACTTGGTAATCTGTTACTCTTAATAACATAAATAACTAAATAAGCAACAACTAAACAAATGTTATTTTTTTACACTTAGTGTTAGCAATGTATGACTAAGTATATATACATATATAGATCGAAATGCCTGTGAATGTTAGATAACCGCCAGTCATGCATATCTTGTTTTTTATTTCATGTTAAACCATAGACAATATGAAAAATTGATACTGTCAAGTGCTAGACCCATTTTGTTAGAATAAATAACAAAGTACTCCATTATGAGATTAACTATGGACTGCATGTTAACCCTTAACTCAAGATGCCTGAGTCCAAAATTCTTTATTAGCCCGCTCTTTGTATTGCTAGGGTTGTGTTGGCTGTGTGAGAGCCAGACAAGAGTAGTTCGAGTAGTGTTTTCTGAACTCGGGTACTCATTCTTAAAAGAAAAAGAAATGTGCAGCTCTCCTGCTTATTCGATAGGGGAAAAAAATCTTAGCGGGATGTATAACTTTGAGTTTTTTACCTGACAGGGAATAAATAGAACCCTCTGGGTACTTCTTTGAAAAGAAGTTAAGTATCTTTCAGCTAGGTTAGCAGTTACTCGACGGAAATCAACAACATCATCAACAAGATTAGCTTTCTTCAGCCTCTGTCCAATGCCATGAACCATGAATACCAGATGACCAACTGGAACCTATTAAGGAGTAATTGCAGAATTTATTATCACTTAAAAGTTTTTTGCTGCACACAAAACCATGTAAAATTTATGGGAAATATTTTCAACACAATGATCCTCTGATATCCATTAACGTGGCAACCTTTGGTGTAAGACTGATAGATAGGGCTAAGCATTCAGGTGATAGAAAAAGTGCTCCATTGAACTATATAGTTTTGTGCATGCAGTCATCTGCAATCAGGCCAATCCCAATGCAAAATGTCCAAAGTGATGTCTAAGAGGTGAGCAAGTGCAAAAACCATTAAACACCCTAATGAATAGTGCCCATATATAGTGCCTATGGTACTTTACAAGGCCAACAGACAAATGAGTTAACCAATTATGAGGACACCACCTTCCCCCAATGTTTGTTTTGTGGTTCCAGATCTGAGACAAGCTTGTTTCTTCATGCACACATTTGCTTCTTATCCCTCATCTTTTAATGTTCACATCAGATTTTATCCTAGGCAAAACACCTAATTATTTCCTAAAACAATGCCATGTTGGAGACTTCGAGCATCGTGAGTGGCCTCATGTCTTTTTGGGTACAAAAGGTCACATCATGCCACCTAGTGATATATTAAACAAAAATGTTGCTAACAGCCTGCCAGTAAGGGAATTAAGTTGAGAATATAGTGGGGGGGGAATACTCTGAAGTACCTTTTCCTGTAATAATTAAGTATACCTAAATCTTTTGCCTGGGGGAACATAGTTCACAGAGCACGCCAGTCTCACTTCCAAATTAAGACTACTGATATGGAGAAAGAAAAGGTAGCTATGCCTCAAATAGTAAATACCTGAGAGCAGTAATCATCCATTTCCTCTTCTTTTGTCTGACGCAGCTCATCCTGGCAAAGAATCAGATGGCAGTTATACACTAAAAAAGAATTGATTGCAGAGTACAGCTACAGTAAGATGGTGAAAGACAATTATTCTCATTCCAGATTCATACTTACAGGCTCTGATATGATGCAAGTTGACAAACCAAAAATAGGAGTGCATTTCAAAATTGGAGGCAGAAAAATAGAGAGCAGTTTTTCCTCACTAGCTGATTTGTTTTGCTAGTGTTTTTTCCTGCTGAATGAAAGATACAAAACCACAGGTACGAAACTCGCAGGCAGCAAAATGCTAGGCTAGTGAGATGTGAGATGGTGACTTTCATCTATGCGTATCCAGTGCAGAGAGCTCCCGCTCTGTGCGGGGTCTGCAGCAGGGTGTCGATGCTTACCTCGCTTTGTCTGCTGACTCGAACCGGGACCTTCCGTCACAGGCGGAGACTCTACCGTGAGATTCCGTGACTTTCATCTATCTATGCACTACAGAAAATTCACTCTTGCTAATTGTATATAATTCATCTCAGAGCACCAGATCACATGTTCAACAGGATATAACATAATTGGTTTACCAGTCCTCATGATGCTGTTAACTCTGAACCTGTTCCTATAGCTAAATTGCAATCCATAGAGATGCTAACATTTTAGGCTTAAAAAATAAATAACAAATAAGCAGCAAACACTGGACCAAATATCAAAATTTCAGTTTCCTTTTAGAATAAAAAAAAAAAAATAAAAGCATCGACTTGCAAATTCCGAAAACACTGGATAGATAATGGCATTAAAAAACAGCAACATGGTAGGTTACCTGTGAAGGGTATGTACTTGCAGATTCAGAAGGAGAAAATCCGCGCCTTAATTTGATTGTGTTGCTACCAAGCTTAGGACCTGTATCAAAGACAAGCCAAGCTTCCCAAGTATCATCCTCTCCAGTAAAAAGAGCATGCAAATCCTGCACAATTTTTTTTTAGATTGACTCCAAATTATCAATCTTCACTTTCTGAGGAAGCTTTATCAGCATTACATACCGGTGTACTTCCTTGGAGGTCAACCCTTGCTGCAAATAGGCCTGAAGGTTGAAATTTTCGACGATGCCAGACCTAGTTTTGACAAAAACAGGGTGTTCAGATGTTTTCTGAGCTAAAAATCACAGAAGGTAGTATGAGTATAGGGACGAAACTAACAGTGCAAGACGATTAGGGAGAAAGGTTCATGGCTTCATGCACAGTGTAGGTAACATCCTGTCATATGTAGTTATATCATTTTTCATCACAATCATGATGCCCATGGTTCAGAGCTATGTTCCCATCCCAGTTTTGTTATCCCTTGTAGCAAAAATCAAGTATCCAAAGATTCTTTAAACAGTTCAAGATTGAGCGCCCAGCCCATTGGATTAATTTAAAAATATTTGGATCTGGTGAGGCAAGCTTGGTTATCATTCCTAAAGCAAATGACTGTCCAAAAATCCTTAACAGTTAAGGTGAATTGGCAATCCAAAAAATGCTTGCTGATAGTCTTGGCCAAATGTCACTAAAGAACACTCCACAAAAGGTTTGTACCTGACAATTATATGCTAACTCAAGTTGTTCAGAGACATCCTCGCGCAAGGGAATCCAATCAACGCCACCTTTGCGAGCAAACCAGTGGCCTCTCAAGACACGCCTGTTTTCACCGTCCCAGTACACAGGGAAGCAATGCCGCCTCATCAAATCAACCTGCAGAACAGTAGGTTGTCATGGAAACACCAACTCACTAGATAGCATACTGAGAGTAGTCAACGATAATGGGTAGAATGCTTCCCAATGATCCATACATGATTCATTCTGCTAATGATAGAGCATACTAGGAAAGAGATTACAGACCTCATATAGTCCACCTTTCACAGGAACCCCAACCCGCTCTTCCTCCACCTTATAAAGATATGCAGAATCATCACTTTCAACCAAGGATCCTCTCGGGCCTGCACTGCATTCAGCGTACTCCCTCCACCAGTACGCAAGCAGCTCTTCCTCCCTCTACAAACAGTAACCAATAACATTACAACAACAACAAAGCCTTTAAGTCCCAAACAAGTTGGGGTAGGCCAGAGTTGAAACCTAGCAGAAGCAATCAACCAATAACATTAACTTCGAGGAAGTTATTAAGAATGGATACAGTTCTCTTTATACTGTATCAGAAATGTTTAAAAAGAGCTCAAAATTAACAAATGTGCCAACATAGAACTACTGTAGATAACTGCACAAAATTAAACAAAAAATCACCATCATGGATCAAATAGCTTACGATGTTATCAGTTTTCAGATAGATTGTATTTCAATAGCTGTAGAATTAATATTAAAGATGGTGTAAATTTCTAACTAAACATTTAGGCATCCAAATACGTGTTGAGATGGTAACCTCCAAGAAAGACGCCTCCAGTGCCAGAGAGTCCCTCTCGCTGAACCGGAAATAGTCTCCTTTCCCGACTATCTCTGTCTGTGGTACCGAAGAAGAGAGCACTGCATCGACAATCGAATCAGTAAAGCTTTAACCTGAAGCATCGACGGTGTGATATTCAGGAGACCAATCAACTACACTACAAGTCTACAATAATAGCGGGTGTGCCGAACTGTGCAGATATGCTCTGGTAGTGTTCAATTATAATGCTTCTAATTTCTAATAAAGCAGATAGAAGTCACATGGGACTAACATTGCAACCCCAATACACAGGTTCGGGGACCGATCCTTTTGAAGTCCCCACATGAGTTATTAGCCCAGAATAGTAACTAGTTTTTGTGACATCTAAACCCCAAGCAGTTGGCATGCGCCATGGTGGGTGAGCTCCTCGGAAGCAGCTGAGTACGTGGGGCGACTGATCAACTGGCGCAGCCGAAGCGCCGCATGGAACCGAAACGCCCAAGTCAAATACGGGCGAGGGGAGGGCAAGGGGATGGACGGGGGACGGCGCACCTTTGTCGGCGAGGGGGAGCTTGCAGAAGTACCAGCGGACGTCCTTGCCGTCGGAGGGGCTCTTGGTGTGCGCAAGGTACTTGCGGCGCGCCGCGCAGTGCCCGATCGCGTCCTCCAGCCGCGCGATGTTGGAGGGCGTGTTCCGCAGCGAGTCCGGCGACGCGCCCTCCGCCTCCCCGGCGGGGCCCGGGCCCGCGGGCGCGCGGCTCGTCGACGCGTGCGCGTCCCCCGGGTTGCCGCCCCGCGCCCCCCACCTCTCGTCCGGGCCCGCCATGCGCGCCGCCACCGGTTTGGGATCGCCGGCGGCGAGGGGAAAGGGGAGGAGTGGAGTCGGAGACGGGGAAGAGAGAAGGGTAGCGGGGCGGTGGGGGCGGCGAGGTGGGCCCCAACCTCAGGAAGAGAGAAGGGAAGTCACGGGACGGGACGGAGGGAATGTACCGCCCCGGGAGGCGAATCAGAAGAGCCCAACTGCAAGTCCGACCCCCATGGGCCATGGCCATGGTGTAACGACTGGTCGGTCGGGCCAGTAGTTGTACCGAATCCGTTTTCCGTTTTTTATTTGATTTGGAAACGTAGAAAGTTCAAATTCGCAAGGTGCGTTTCAAATTTGATGATGATGATTATCCTTGACTACAACTTCTGTGCGATGAGTTTTTATATATTTATAAAAAAAAAACATGTAGAGATGACAGATGAGAGGATGCTTTCACAAATGACATAAGCGCAACGAGATTTTATTTATAAATAAAAAAACATGTAGAGATGCATGAGAGAATTCCACAAATGACATAAGCCAACGTACTTTCAGTGAGTTTTGAATTGAAAGCAAGGAAGACTTCGGATGGGACAAGCATCGTTGATACGGAAAGATTTGCAATTTTTTACTTAAAGGAAATGGTGTCTTATATACTATACTTCATCCATTTCAAACTATAAAGACGATTGACTTTATTAGATATAATATGTTATTTTACTAGATATAGTGGCAAAAGTTATTATGTATAAAAAAAGATTAAAACATCTTGTAATTTGGAACGAATTGGTACTATATATAAGTTTAAGGAACTCCAAGACAGTTTAAAATCCCCAAAACATATATTACTAGGGCCCTGTTCGCTTGGCTGATAAGCCATGGCTGAAAGTACTGTTGGCTGATTTGTTGTGAGAGAAAAATATTGTTCGTTGGCTGGAAAAGTACGGCTTATAAGCTAAGCGAACAGAGCGTAGGTTTCATATAAACAATCCACCTCCAACAGCAATCGATAAATAAAAGGAACCTAATTTCAGGCCTAGCTAAATTTGTCTCTTCCTGAACTCACATTTACGTTGATGAACTGTCACTCTATCCCATCTTCACGCAAAAAAAATGTTTATAGAACCTCCACGTGCAAAAGGAAAACACGTCATAGTTCCACATATTGCCATCTTCTCGTTGCCATCACATTACTCTTGTGGCGGTTCCTTGCGTTCTAGTCATCATTTGTCGTCCAAATCGATTAGCGTCACAAAAACAAATGTGGGGTGCCATTACTATGTGTACTGAAAAAATATCCGCAATCATTTTGGACTACCAACTAGTGAAGAATCTAGCACCTTTTTTTTGGTTCCCATGAGTTTTGCTGATTAATGATAGTTGGATGTGTAGCGCCTAAATGGCCTCTCCAAATGTCTGATGTGCAACTGTTAACCCGCCCCGTCGCTATCTCGACTGCCACCATCACTTGTCAATTGGCCCTCTCAAACTATCCTTTATAGCCAGAGAGCACAAAACTCCAACCCCTGACCCGAAACCTCAAAACCCTAACCATGGTCAAGTACTGGATCTCAAGGTTGCTAGATTTGAGAGAGAGATGTGAGGAAGAGAAAGGGAGACGATGGGTTGATGGGTGAGTGCGACTTCATGAGCACAAGGAGACCACACATCGGACAATGAGTAGGGTGTGCATCTTGTAGGATCTCTAGTTAGCCTAAAGGAGGGTGAATAGGCCTATCAAAACAAACACTCAAACTTTCATCAAACTCAACTCATGCAGCCTCGCCGCTCGACCTCAGCAACCTCGCCATGAACAGCACTATCGGGGCGGGCAATAATGCAGTGCCTTGCATGCACCTGCAGACAACTTCGAGTCACAGTTCAAAATCAAAGAATGTAAACTTGAATCGGAGAAATTTCTTACCTTCCTACAGGTATGAGATTCACATATCGAGAGCTAGAAGTGGTAGGAACACAACACACAAGTAGATTGTAACACCCCGGTGTTATGCCTGTATTTAGGCACTGCAAATCACGCATATCATGCATCATCAAGCATCATAATCATGCATGCATAATCTTGCATATAATAATCAAACATTACTTGAAACATAATGAAACATGTTTGTGAAATAAATGATGCATGCACTTATTAGAGTTGTTGCTCGATTCTTGCTTGCTAGGTTAGTAGAACTTGTTTGGTTATGATTGTAAATCATCTAGAATTGTTTAGCACAATTTTTGGAGCAAGGTTTGTATTTGAATTATTGCCAAATTTTTCTTTAAAAATAATTCTCAAAAATTAGGGTTTTGAGTTAAAATTTAACTTTGATTGTATAATTTAAAATCTAGATAGAATTAGACTTTGGTCATAAAAGCAAAGTTGTAGAAATTAAATTCTAAACAACTTTCATTTTTGGTACATTTTCAAAAGAGGTCATTTTCTTGCTCAAAATAATATTTGAAAACTGTTATTTGAAAATTTATTGAAAATGGAAATTGAAAAAATGTTCTCTGTTTTAGCGGGTCAGCCTGCTTTCTTTACAGCCAAATAGGCCAGCCGACCAGCCGAGCCTCCCCGCCTTATACATCTCGCTACCGCCAAATAGCCACTTTGCAAAGCTCATCCTCCTGCTTGCTTGCAAAAAACCAATAAACACAAATCGCCCAGCAAAATGTGGCCGCCAAGTGCTCTTCTTTTGACATGCCATGGCTTGCCATCAAATGATCCACGCGCTCTTCTTAATTGAGTTCCTCCCATTCCTCCTCCCGCTCTCTTAAGAGCAACATGGAGAAACGCAGCGACGCACCATGCTTAAGAGCTCAAGGCACCAATGGAGGAGAGACCCCTCCCACCTCCATTCCCGATTCACGCCGCAGCTCCGCCTTAGCCTCCCCGCCGTTTAGCGTTGAATGCGGCCGTCGTCGAGAGAAAAGAACCAAGCGCGCGCCGCCTTCCTTCCTCTCCGAAGGACCTTCTGCCGGCCGGTGGCTCAAATCACGCCACCGCCACACTCCACCATCCCAAACTGCGTTGGGCTCGGCAGATGGCGCGCATCAACTGGCACCACCACCAGCGCCACGGGGGGCTTGCCACCGGTGAGCACCGGCCGTGAGGCGCCTCCTCCTGCTCTCGATGTTGACCAGGACTAGACCAGACCGCGATGGCGTGGCCATTGCCCGTGAAGTGTTGGTTGTCTTAGGCCGCCGCCCACCCTTCGCTTCGGCTGGACAGCGCGAGTATGTGTGGATGGGCCAATTCATTTCCACAGGCCGCCCAATGAGAGTTTGAAAGAATTGTTTTCAATTTATTCTTTATTATTTGAAAAGCAGAAATGGTTTGCAAAATGTTTGGATACTCAAAGTTGCTCCAAATTTGTTGAAACAAATTTTTCTAGGTTCCTTATCACCAGATCTACTTGGGAAAAATTGTGCATGTCATTTTTGAGATACTTTTCTATAGGATTTTATTTAATCTTGAATATTGCTGATAACTTGAAAAATATGTATAAAAATATATAGGCTTCAGAAAAATATGATTCCAAGTTTGTTAATATTCTTATGTTATGTATTTCCTAGGAAAAATATATTTCATGCATGTGCTGTGGAAAACTTTGGAGGTGTAGTTCAAGTACCTTTAGTGGCTAACTTTTGTTATTTTTGCTAAAGAGCAAAATTTGTATAAACATGCATGTGGTAATTTTTGTACAGTCATTGTATGCTATGAAGAACATAGGAAAAATACTAATTCTGTTGTTTGACACTTTTCACAGTACAAAGTATTTTCATGTTCATGATCATGCCATAGCTTGTCATTTTTGTGTAGACTATTTTACTTATCCAAATGCCATGAAAATTTTATGGTAGTCTACTTAGAGTAGTACTATGCTACTTTAATTTTCTTAGATTTTTATAAGCACCAGAAATATAGGTTGCTGTTGTAGCCCTAATTTGAAAGGAAATAAAATAATCCTCTTTAATACAAGATTTGTTAATAATAATAGCTTTGGTGTATCTTTGAAGCATTTGATAAGGGTGTTGACTTAAACATATTAGTAGTAGAAGAGAATGCAGTAGATGACATGTGCTTGTAGTATATTTTCTTGGATGATGTGACTACCTTGCTTTTCAACATATCCATTGCATTCATCTCCTTCGATGCACCGATTGCATAGGCACTTACACGCATTGCATCATACACAGGATCATAAACCGAGAACCCAAATCGTCATACCCGAGGAGCCCGAGGAGCAGCTTCGAGGTGCACAAGTGCCGAGGCCGAAGAGAGGACGTTGTTGAACTTCCTTCCGAGTGCCCGATCACCGTCCCAGCTCCTTGAGAGAGGCAAGCCCCGAGCATCTTTCTCCCGGTTTGCAATGATTTCATTAAATACTTTACTTTAAATTGATGCATTACGTTCAGGAGTTGTTTGCAACCGTTCTTTGCATTATACCTTGTTTACCTTTGTTATACTATATCCTTGTTACCCCAGTATCCGATCAGTCAATGCTTAGGCGGCTTAGACCGGTAGAAGTCGGGTGATTTCACATCACTGCGAGCTATAGGTGGTTACCTAGATCTGTTTGGATGGCTATGAAGTCATGGTATAACTAAGTGTTAAATGAAGTTGAGACCGGGGCGGAGACTTGCGAGTTTTGGGCTGTAGTGTTTCCGTCAGTGTCGATTAAGGACCGACCGTTGTTGGGCCTCGAGTCATGTTGAACGCATGCCTTACATTTAGTGGCGGATAAAGTACCTTCGACCACCCAGATTTTGAGAGATTTTTCGGAGAGTAGATTGCCATGACAGCCTTGTGTCGTGGGGGTGGTGTGGTAGGACAGAGGGCGGGATGATAAGACCAAAGTGCAATCGGTCATTTCCGGTACATGTGGTTCTGGCAAACTCGAGATACCGAAAGTTGACTCGGTGATCAATATCTCACTTTAGCGGGTGAGTGAGATTTGTGTAAGAATAAATCACCACCGGTTAGGAATCGATTCAATCGCCATCGCTCTGGATAG